AGGCTGCAAATCTCCCTTGCTGCTGTCGGTGTGTGTTTTCACTAGTAACAGTGCCTGGAGTAACCCGAGCGGATCGGCAGTGACTGCTGAGGTCTGGCAGCATGGGTCTGAGGGCTCAGCCAGTTCTTCCAGCAGTGCCCTCAAAGAGCTGTGGGCTTCAGCTCGTGTTGGGACAAATGAATCGTACCTACAAATACTTGGTTTTACAGGTGGGTTTACCTGGAAGGTTTTGTTTCCTTGATCCCACATTGGTGCTCAGTGACATCAGGAAAGATGGAATCTCCTCACTGAAAGACTGGAAAATGGCTATATATTTGCCTGTTTTTAAAAAGTTAATAAAGTGACAGAAAAATCAAAATTCACTTTTAGGAAAATAAATCTGTAATTAGTTATTAACTCACAATCTGAAAGGTACTTGAGATGAATAGCAGCCAACACAAATTCATCAAGGGAAAAAAGCCCATCATATCAGTGTAACTTTTTTTTTTTTATTACAGGGTAGCAGGCTTGTGAATAAAGGTGTGGTAGATGTTTTATTCTGGGTACAGTAAGGGTTTTAAAATTATCTTACATGTTTGTTTTACTATAATTAACAATCTCAGGAAACATGGTCTAGAAAAGACTCCTGTAAGATGGATGCACAGTTGTTTACAGAGTGGAAGAGACATCCCTCCAGGTCATGTTAAGTGTTTTGTCTTGCATATAGGATGACAGAACAGAATGTGTTTATTCAGTTTGTGTTTAGCAACGAGACTGTGAAATATACTGGAGGGCAGAATTGGAAACCAAATTGCTTGCAAAGGAGGAGAAATGCTCCCAAAGTAGGAAGTTCAGCTGGGATAAGGGCTGTGTCTGTACGGAAAGGCTCGTATTTGATTAGATAGCTGGTTTTCAGAAAAGGACTTGGTACTCACAGTGGATCTCTTAATAGAACACAGCTCACTGATGTCATGCTGTTGTAAGATACAGAAGTAAATATTGTACAAGATGCATTAACAGAAATGCAGTCTTAAAAGTAGTTCTTCCACTTTTTTTTTTTTTTTTTTTCTCCTGGAAAGATCTGGTTGGGAGTTCTGCCTCTGTAGCTTTGAGAAAAATACCTGGAGGAGAAAGCATGATCAGTAGAAGACTGAAAGAACAGAGATAGGTTTCTTCTACAAACAAAAATTTTCAAGAATATGAGACTGTTGCATCAAAAAGAATACTTTTCCTTCTCTTGTATGAGTGTCTGCCCTTATAATTAACCATTTAAATGATTCCTGAGAACATGACCTGGTATTTTATGCCAGTTACTTTAATCAGATCTACACTATTTTCAATGTTTTTGATCTCTTCTACTAAAATATTCTTGTCATCCTCTGCATTGATAGGATTTTCTGTTGTTTTTTTTTCTTCAGAAAATACCAGGGTACTTCTATTTCTTGCAGCTTAAAGGTTAGCAGTGGAATGCCTGAGGCTTTAATATTTTTTATCTTCAGTATGTTAGCAAAGCTAGAGAAATGGAGAATTAGAAGAGGAATTATAGATTGGATAAGACAACAAGGGCTTTTGATACTGCCTCTCTTTTCAGTGAAGAACTATTGAATGATTTGCTAAAGTCTAAATAGATTCATTTCACTGCATTTACTTTGTTCAGAAAAAAACGATCCATTATCAAAGAAAAGGTGATGTACTTTAGCTGATGATGTTTATTTGCATGTTTTTAAATCACTTTCTTGAAATCACTCTTTTGGAAAGAATTCTGAGGCTTTGTGGAATGCTTTGTTGAAGCCAACGAGACTGTTGCTGCTTGGGTGACATCTCCTTAAGGGACTGGAAGACAGAAGATACAGTAACAGAAAGTATTCCCCCTTTGCTGTATTTTTATTAAATGTTTGCTACAGGCTCGCAATTTAATGAGCCTCGTTTTTGGAAAACTCTAAGCTGGAGACTTAACTCTTTTCAATACGCTGGTCTGGATACCACCATGGGCTTTGAACAACTCTGAATCCAGGTCTCTCATCTTGGTAAATTCCTGACCTCTACTAACAGGTTATTCTGTATAGGGTAAAGTCTTTGGGCTTTGTCAGACTTTGAAAGGTCTTGAGTTCAGCCTGATGTGGATCAAGGATGCTTTCCAAAAAACTCTCATGTATTTCTAAGGGCTGTTTCATGTTGTCACATGGCATACCTAACTCAGCTCTCTTTAGCTTAGCAACAGATGTATGTAAGAGCTCAAGTGTGTATGTAATTTATATGGCTTGAAAACATCAATGGCTATTTATTCTTAATAACAATATGACATTGTGCTGGATTAAATCATAAAAGCATAGGGATAAATAACTCACAGGAAAGATGAGGAACATTTTCAAAAATGTTATCCCATACATTTTTTGTATAACTTGTCTAATTTAATCAAAATTGAAGAGAGAAATAATCACTTATGACACTTGTGACTGGTTGCACTGAAGAAAACTATGCTATAGTAGCTTTTTCTTTCTATGTTATCCAAGGTGGTTTGAATGAGTCGGGGTGGGGGGGGAAGTATTGTACAAGCAAAGACAATGTTTTAATTTTTTATCTAATTGTTCTTTTTCTTAATGTAACTTCAGTTTTATACTGAAGATACATGTCTGAAAACTAGACGTTAGGCAGGATCAATTTTTCTTGTCTAGCTTCATGTGCATTCCCACAAAAATGTAAATAAAATGTTTTCCTAATGTTCTGTGTATGAAAGCTGAAAACTGAAGATTGCATTAAAGCATGTGCTTATCCTGTCCGGCTAAAGGCATCGTTGCCAAGGACAGCCTAAGGGCTGGAAGGAGCAAAACAAAGTGCTGCTTGTTCAGTTGAATTTTTATTCTGTAGGCTGTGCATGGCACACAGATCATGAACCGCTGTAAGTCTATTCCTTCAGAACTAGTGGGACCACAGGTGCCACTGGGAGGAACGAGCTACTGATAAATATTAACACAGCTGAAAAGTAGCAACAATTTCATTTGAATTACTGTGAAACCATTTCAGACAGGGGCTCTTTCTGTTACTGAGTGTTAAGTGGAACAAAGAGGAAAACTTCTTGACTATCAGCTGAGTCAGTCACCTGATTACAGCTAGGCACCAAGTATTAATTATTGAATTTTGAAATATTTTTCTGAGAAAATCTGATTAACCACTGGGGGGAAAAAAAGTAACTAAGAAGAATACACTTTATCTTGTGTCAGGAGCAGTACATGAAGAACTGGGACAAAGTAAGAACCACTCGTCAGCTCTTTTTTTCAGTAGGTAGCTAGTTTGCAACTTTGACATGACAGATTTTACAAATGTGAATTCTCAAATGTGCTAGAACAATTGAGATTTTATTTTGTGCACCATATTATCTTTCCTTTTGAAATATTTGAATATTCATTGGAGTTCTTTTTTTTTAATAAACAGTTGACAATGAAACATACAACACCCCATTCATTGTCATTTTGCTGCTAGAGCTAAAGAGGAATATAAGATATTCTGGAATTGTCGAAAGTGAGATGGAGGTTTTTGTTAGGTGCTCTCATGTTTTAGAAATGAGAGATGGATCGTTTTGTCTTATCAAGGGCGGGTTTCCCTGTCCCTTGCACTTTGAATGTGGAGGGATTATGGTATTGTAGCACAGAAAGGTTTGTTGTTATCACCTCCTCTCTCTCCTTTTTTGGCTCTCAGTTTGCTTTAACTATTATTCTAGTTTCATGTGTGGTTCTGACTATTTTTTTTTTTAACAGCTCTCTCAACAATAGCAATAAAGTGATTATTGGCAAACAGACTTCAGTACTGATACATAAGGCCCTCTATTAATCTATATTCTCGGATATGTTCTTTGAGTACCAAGCAAGCTCTTTGCCCTGGTGTTTGAGGGCTTTCTACCAAGAAAGGTTTTCTGGGGAAGGAACATCTAAATGGAACTTTGAGATCAGGCCTTGATTGTAGGACAATATGAACTGGAACATTCACAACTTTGTTCATCCTTTCTCCAGTCCTACTGCTTAGACCCTGTGGGGACAAGATGGGAGCTTGTATCTGTGATTACCATTTATGTCATTATTTCTGATTACAGCCTTGCTATGCAAGATAAGCTTCTGTGTTTTGTTTTGAAGGAAGAAACCCCAGTTTTAAAATCCTGAGATATGCTTTTGGTTATGCACTTCTAGGGCAGGAAATTCAGAAGGTTACAATAATTAGTATCAGTATTTGGATTCAAGAGTCAAAACAGGGACCTAATGTCAAGTTCAGGTCTAACAAATTAGACTGTATCTGTCTCTGATTCCTTGTTGATGTCCTTTTAAGGTAAGAGGGCAAGTTGTGTGATATCTAAGACTTAGGAATTAATTGTGTTCTCCCACCTCAGCAAAATCATAGATATATCTGTAAAAGCTTTATAGAAATTTCTTAAGCATGGTTTGGATTTAGACTACAAGAAGTTTTTGGGAAATGAGGAGTTGTGTTAAAAACTTTACAGTGTTTTTAAGTGATCTTATTTTTTAAGTGATCTTATTTTCATTATGAACTTGTAAAAATGCACAGAACTTTGTTAAAATTATGTGTAACATGGGCTGTTAGTTTCTGAAAACAAATGCTAATAATCTTTCATGATGCAAAACTTGAATTACTTTTCTTCAATTTAGTGATGTATTACAGGCAAACATAATCAGATGGAAACTCAGGATCTGATTCACAATCTGTTCCTTATTCTATTAATGTGAATGGTATCTATTTGAATCTTTCAGGTTGTTCCAGAAGATGACATGCTAAAGATAAAAGCAGTAAATCATATCCAGTCAACTTGACTTTTTAACTAATGTTTTCTTGTTGTAGGCTGGCTTTGATCTGTGCAGTCATATCTATAGCATGTGCTCATTTGTAATGCTTTCCTGATATCCATGATGACATGCTTTTGTGCACACACATCTTAAGAATACTAGAGGCTTGAAAGTGGGTGTCCAAGTCTATAAGCCTGTGAAACACAGAGTTGCTATTGATGTTTTTCACAGAGTATGCTGAATTTCTACACTGCAAAGGGAGGAAATTTACAGATTTTGATGAAGTTCGTCAGGAAATTGAAGTAGAAACAGATAGAGTAACAGGAGTGAACAAAGGCATTTCTTCAATTCCTATTAATTTGAGAGTATATTCTCCACATGGTAGGTAAAATAATTCTACTTTATATTTCTGTCATGTAATGTATTATGTAGCTCTGTCTAGCTATCTCCTTTTGTGTGTGTTCTCATTGCTCAATGAGAACTCTTCTGAGATGAAAAAACTTTTGAGACTGACATGAATCAGAAGTTAATATGTATCTGGAAGAATCCTCAACTTCTCCTGTGTTATGAAACCACTCGACGGTGGAGAGCTGTTGCCACTAGAGCTGGGCAGAATGCATTCTCTCTATCCCATTTAATATTCTCATGATCTAGTAATATTCTCACTCTGCATCAGGATGAAACCAATCTCTCCCCCAGTACATACACCATTAGACAGTAGCTCAGTAGTAAAGACAAATAACAGAAGATGAGAGACTTAGTGGCAAAACTTCTTTTTGCCACTCTCCAGATGGATTCCCTGATCAGGGATCTAGAAAGTCATTATGTCTCCTTGCCCTATTGGAAGTTTATTATTTGTTGTCACTAAAATATATATTTAGACAGTAATAGTGTTTGAAGCTGCTTTCTGTTGTAGACCACCAGTACAGATCAAAGTTAGTTCCTCTGGTTGCCATCTGCCCAATTTAATGAAGGCAATCTAGAGAAAATGTTTTGCATTGAATTTGTCTTGGATACAGGAGAAGTAGTGTGTTTGACTGAAGCACTTTATTTTTCTAATCACCTCATTGTGAATCAAAGGACAGAAAGATTAAAATAAGAGGAGAGATAATTAAAGAGATGCTGAACCTCCCTTTGATATACCCTGAGCAGTGTTGGCTTTAAACATATGCCCCTGAGCCCTTTTCTGCTATACAGATGTGGCAGAGCCAGCTGGAGGGAGCTGAACTAAATGCCTCAAAACTCTTTTGTTGAACATGCTGGCTCCAGGAGAAAGTGAAAATTTCCTACCTCATGCTCTTTTTTTTTAATTAGGATCAATCCTAATAATAACAGTTCAGCAACTGTTGTCTGTATTAGACCCCAAATATACTTCTGATGCTTCCTTTCTAGCAATTGCATGTATTCTTATTTGTCTAAAGCATATTCTGTTACTCCAGTACCAGCTGAACAAGCCAGGATGCTTCTAGTTGGCATTGTGGCCTGTACTGGGGAAATCTTGCCAGAACAAAACAGATTTTCTTAATGGATGAACTTTTTCATGTTTCTTACTTTTCTTAAGAAGTTATAGAGTTAAAAAACCCCCCACAAAAAACAAAAACAAAACCCCAAAACCGTATATGTTAGGCTAGCTATTGACTGTTTTGGGAATTTCTTAACTGGGGACACCATTGAAAGCATGGTCAGAGAAGGACTGTATTTTAAAAAAAAAAAAGGTTGATTTGAAAGATGCAATGGGAATGATCTGCTGTGTGTGCTCCTGTTGGTGGAAGAAACTCAGAAAGCCAAGTTCATTTGGTTCATTTGTCTAAGAGCCTTCAAGGATATTCAGTATAAGTATCAATCTTCTATGCCAATTGTAATGATTAAAATATTAAATAGTACTAATAAATCCAGAGATGAAAGACCAACAGGGAAACAAGTGTAATTTTCAGATTATCAGGCGTTTTGTTTGAACCCTTGACAATATTTATATGCCTTAAAGGTAATTATGTGGGGTTTTATGTGACTAAAATTTGTCTGCAGCCATAGATGTGTAGACCTCTTTAGATCTCTAGCGTGCTAACCACTTTTATGATCCTGTGTTTTCCACATAGTATTAAGCCTGACTCTTATTGATTTGCCGGGAATCACTAAAGTGCCAGTAGGGGATCAGCCTCCAGATATTGAGCAACAGATCAGAGACATGATAATGCAGTTCATCTCTCGAGAAAACTGTCTGATACTGGCTGTGACTCCAGCTAACACTGATCTAGCCAACTCAGATGCACTAAAGTTAGCTAAGGAAGTGGACCCTCAAGGTAAGCATGATTGAATGTAACCACTTTTTATTCTCAAGTGTAATAATATCATTGGAAGTAATAGACCAACTCTTGTGTGAAATACAATTTATAGTATGTAATATAGGTGTGTATATTTACCTTCTCATATAGGCTTCAACATCACAATAACTGTTCGTTAGCTCAGTATCACTCAGGTAATGATGCTGTAAATGTATTTCTAAATTTTTGTCACTATCTCTCATAAGCAACCGGGGCAATGCCTATCTAGAAACTTTTGTAGTACCTAGCAAAATGGACTGTGGTGCTGATGGGATTTCTGGATACTTGCATCATAAATTTTATACAGTCATATCGTAGGAATGCTGAGCCTTGTTAAAGAGATTTGAGGAACACATTTCAGCACTGGCAATGATGATCCCTTCTTTTCCAGGCATACCATAACTTGCAGTTAAACTTAGCTGGTATTGTGTGATACAGCCTTTGAGAACATCACATATCTGTTATTATATAATTGTAAGATGTAGTTGTTCTTCCTGAATATAATTGATTCTTCACTATCTCTTTCCTCCTGCCTCCACCCTGGTCAGGCCTCAGGACCATTGGTGTGATCACAAAATTGGATCTGATGGATGAAGGAACAGATGCAAGAGAAATTCTAGAAAACAAACTACTCCCACTTCGTAGAGGTGAGAATTTTCAGTTGCCTATATTCTTTGCAATACAGAAGATTGTTTGGATAAGAGTGGTATTTGAGATTTCTGGAGGTGAATCAAAGGTTATGCCGGACTTGATGAGTTCCTAGCTTTCATCATTATCTGTACAGCAAATGTAAAAGGTGGCTGTGCTTTTTTTGGACCTGGAAAATACACTGCATATTCCAGAGGAAGCTAGAAATGTCAGCACAAGTTGTTAGCCAAATTTATCTTCTGTGCCAGGCTACTGTTGCTTGTAACAAAAGAATGTTTTTTTTCTTTGCACTTGACAGAAGCAAGCACCAGAGCTTTGGTAATCTCACTGTAAATCAAGTTTCTATCCCTTCCAGAAGTTTTCCATGTGATTGTTCTGGCAGCTACTGCCACAGTTGCTCATACAGTTAACAATATCAAGAATTTTTATTCTAATTATAATTTGCTGATGAGACCACTGTCTCCTCCTATGGAGCATGTTGGTCCAGCAAGTGAGAATTTGTTCCTACATTTTGCTAATATCATATCATTTATCTACGTAGACCTATGTGTATGTTTTGATTTTGTTTTGTGGCTTTTTGTTTGCTTATTTTTGAAGTGGTTTCTTTGGTGTACACCAGTTTCAGATATTTCTGTATTGGAACTGATGATTTAAAAGGAAGTATATGTGTTATACATAAACAGGATGAACTATTTGGACACTGGTAAGTGTCATTACTGTAAGTCATTACAGTACTTGTGAACAATATCTGAAATGCCTAAATCTTAAAGTTTTGTTTGAACTGAGGCAGTCTAGTTCTATTTAATATGAATTCAGTAGTTCAGACAATAGCTGCGTTGACTTATCCATTGGTTTTGTTTTGTTTTAGGTTATATTGGTGTTGTAAACAGAAGCCAGAAAGACATTGATGGGAAAAAGGACATAAAGGCAGCTCTTCTAGCAGAAAGGAAATTCTTTCTTTCCCACCCAGCATATAGGCACATGGCAGATCGGATGGGAACACCATATCTCCAGAAAGTTCTAAACCAGGTAAAACCTGAAGCCTTTGTGGTGAAAGGCCTCTTTTATAATGATAGGACCAATATAAAATCTTTATTAAAGGGAATGTTGCTCAGTGAACCTCACTTACTCTTTCCTGCTTTTAAGATTTTAACCTTTTTCATTTTTGCAATGTAATAAACAAAGCTGTATATTATATGTAGCATATGAAAACTGAGAGATGTAGTTTCTTTACTGACAGTTCTGTACTTCCCTGTTCTCTTGAATACTGAATATGAACATGAAAAATAAGATTTGTCTCCCTTCTGTAAGTATGCTGTTCTCTTCCTTAATTATCAAATTTCTTCTAGTTTAACAAGGTTTTTAGAATTCAAATCTAGAAATTAGAGGAAGAAAAAAATTATTTTTTTTAGAAATCATGCATCCTGAGTGTTCACAGTGTGTCTGTACTTTAACCTCAAAATCTACACTTTACTGTAGTTTTTAATAGGAATGGTGTACTGCATACTCAAGATATAAATGACAAATACAGTAATTGGAACACTTTGTTCACACTACCTTTACTTTTGCCCAAACCTTTCGTTTATTTCTATGAGTCCTTGCCAGGTGTCAGATCACAGCTTCCTTCAGCAGGCAATA